TCAAAGGGCCCGAGTTTCTTTTGAAACTTGCGCATGGTGGTTATCTAGCCTGCTGATCACGAAAAACACACCTCTTTGCAAAATAAAGTCTTACTGTGTGTTTACGGTAGCTAATTTGATTGTAAGGGAATTTTTGAAAATTCACCGGCCTATCCTTTTCTGTGGAAAGAGAGTCCTCCACTAAGCGCTAGCGCACCATAATCTACGGGAACATCTCTACCGAATCATGCTTACTGTAATCTTCCATATGTGTTCTTCGCTGAGTTACACCGCTACGAAAACACATCCTCACACAAAAACCGAGCAGACTGAAAACGAAATAGTAAGAGAGCGTAGTATATCAGATGACAAGCTTGACAAGACAAGCTGATTATCATGCTTTCTTCGGATTTGTATTTTATGCAGTCTGAAGGAAGTTATGAAGAAAAACCGAAAAGACGCGGGTCGGCAGTTTTTGTGTTTTCTGTCGAATAATTAGTGTGGGTACTGTAGCTGTTGAGAAAAACGATATAGAAAATCAATAAGTTGTGCTTTGAGCGCATGTGTTTAGTCTGAATGTCATATGGCTCCAGAATGGCAAGAGCTAAAGCTTCGTAAGCATCATTTACAGGATCTTTCATATGTGATGTCCTCAAATTGTTCCCTAGGATCTCGAAGTTGTAAAAATACAAATTTACTTCAAAATGCGTATATAAGATGGGCGCGAGGATCAAAAATCTTGCAACTGATATCTCTTCGGAGCAAATCATGGCCATGGTAATACTGAAGCACTAATACGGGTGGATCACGAACTCAAGGCGCGTTTGGCACAAAATCCTCTCGCTACCGAGACCTTGGAACATTGACTGCAAATCTGTTTTTTTTATCAGCTGCTCGTTTTTGGGAAGAGACATGATGCTACACGGCGGTTGTGGCTCTGTATTCGTATAGACTTTTGCAACCAAGATGTTGTGCAGAAATTGAGATCGTCTTGAATGTTATTCAACTCGCCCTGTAAAGCCTCGCAACGCTTCAGAAGCGGTCTACAGATGAGTAAGACAAATTTAGAATCAGCGTAGCCTACTCCCCATAGAGGTGTGTACTTTGTGCTAATCAGCTATTTCAGGTTCGTCGTTCCTAGGAACTAGTGTGAAAGATCGTGATGAAGACAATCAGTACGCTTTTAACCGACGAGGGAAGTAGGTAACTTAGACGCCTTTCAAGATGGGGCACATATTAGGTTGTCCCATAAGTCTTTTCATATTCGGACCTTCAATTCGATTTTTCTCAAGAACTACAGCACCTAATAGGCTGCAAATTTTTAACGGTAATTCTGAGTGAATCTATCATAACTTATAATAACGGGCTAAGGGTTGTTTACGTTTGTGTGTGTGTGTGTGTGTGAATTTCTGTCTGTCACGAAATTCGTAGAGCGAGTTCCAGCAAAGGTCTTGAGCTAGAATTTTGGTAGTAGCACCCTATCAGCAGGTAGGTAAAATGTGCAAAAGCACAAGCCGATCCGATAATTGGAACCTGTGAAATTGTGCGCCAAACGGATCCACGCGACATTTCAAGCGCCAAAATGGGCCTGTAATTGGACTTCTTTCAAAGTCATGGTTTCGTTTAGCAAGTAAATCCGCAAACCATGGACCCTAGCCCGAAAAGTGAGCAAAAAGTTTACTTTCGCGCAAGATCGGCGCCAAAAAGGAATAATTGCGTAGATGCGATTTGTCAAGGTTTTACCTGGGAATGCGGGACAATTTTTGCTCAGAGATGTAACTCACGGTTGCCATCATCTTTATGGCGAGTATCAAGTCATTATAACCCCAATAACTGATTCAAAATCGCATTTAATTTTTTGAAGAATACTTTCTTTCCCTTAAAGTCACCGATCTTACATGAAAAAGCTTTTGGAATGAGTAGTTGTTTACATTTCATTCGTGATGATCGGCATCGCGAGGTAAGTTTCAAAGCCATCATTCTGCGACTACGAGGTTGGTATATGGATAGTACAGCCAGTACGAGCCTCTGCGAAGCAGAGGTGACGCACTGGTATATATATAAAACTCAAACACTGTACCGTGTTTGTTAGGATGTTTGTGGCTTATAGACTCCTTTGTATGTGAACCAAAGAGGCTGAATTTTGTTTCCCTATAAACAAGCCACGGCGCAAAAGATAGGCTACTTTTTTCGACAATTCGCTGGGTCCTTCTATCGATTTATTGATTTGTTGCACTCTCAGTAAGGGAATGAAGCTTATCAACAGCTATTGCCGAACCATTCCTACACTTATGTAAACAAGAGTAGTACGATCCATTGTGAACTTTCGTCATCAAAGCAAGGTCGAAAGCGTTCAGATGTAGATCCTATATATTCTGTCTAAAACTGCGAGATGCATCTTTTGCGGTGCGAGGTAGTAGTGTTGTTAACGCAAGTCAAAGCCTTTTTTTGATGCAGATGTGAGCCAATCGCTAAGTTACAAGCTGTCTCAAATTGCGTGCCACACTCTAGCGTTGAAACCTCCGGCATGAATTCCAGCCGCATGAGCGTGACTCTCAATCTGAAAGCTTACATCATAATTTTGTTTATTGACTGAAGTCCTTGAGTTTTTTTTTTCATTAATCTGTTATCCAAATGGCTCACAAGTTGTGGATTACATATCTTTAACGTGGTAGAATGGCTGTTGCTTTGGCTATAAAGGTATTCGCTCTCTAAAGCAAGGACAGTCAAAGAAGCACTTACTTTTGTCGTAGTACGGGAGAGGAGAGTAGAGTGCGGGAGTTAAAACAGAATAACCGATTAGCGGCGAAGTACTAGGAAAAATGATCCTCAGGATAGCAATGGGCGCTACATTATTCGAACGTTCTTCCACCTATATCGCAATGCTTGCTCTTCAAGTTTTGTCTTCCATGTTTCAAAAAGAAGAGAGACAATGCTGTTGAGTAAAAGTGTACACATTTTATTTTTATTTTTGCAAACAAACTTCAATGATACACTACTGCTTTGAGTGTCACATATATCCAAAGACAGTGAACCCTAAGTGATTTTATCCCGGGCAAGGCCGGGTACGACAGCTAGTACGCTATATAATCAACCATTTGCGGGGTACACAGGAGTGATACCGGCGATGTTTGAAAACTGAGCGCATTATTTTTTTTTCATGGTTTCTAGTCATCAGAAGAATGCAGCAAGCGCATGTATAGATATCCGATGAGGAGAGTATATGCATGAAAAAGTGGGAAATTTGCAGAGCTGTTTTGAACTGAGATATGATGATTTCCGTTTTTTCGGAAATTCGGAAAATTTTTTATTTTGGCTTGGAACTTGTTGCGGATTGAGCTTGGTGCGAACTTTTGAACGCCATCTTGTAGAGCTTACTCTGATCTGTCGGTACCCTGCATTTTATCAGGAGTTCAAGAAGAACTGATTTATGCCGCTGAAAATTTAGGTATGAAAAGACTTATGGGACATAAGTCTTTTCATACCTAATATGTTCAGTATCAGCTTCGACCACTGATTCCAAATGTGCTCTTCCTAGCTGCGACCATTATTTTGAAGCCAGTTATGAGCTTTTTGTGTGCGAAATTGGCATACGGCACCCGGCATAAGAAGATAAATGGAAATCTGCTTAAATACGGTGCTCAGGTACTAAAATAGTACCAGATTGAGTCTTTTGCCATCGACAACCTTTACGCAGTAAATTAGCACTTACCTGAAGTCACTTAACTTAAGGGAAGTCACTTAAGTTAGGTCGGCCTTTTGAAATGGGACACATATATTTAGAATCAGCTCGGAACGCTGACAAATATGCTGTCCTTAGCTGCGAAGCATTCTTCTGAAGCGAGTTATGAGCTTTTTAGTATGTGTAATTGACATATAACTGAATATGGAAAGGCCTTTAGGTAAAAATCTGCCTAAAGAAGTGGTGGGAAATTGAAATAACATCAAACTGAGTCATGGCTTGATAGGGTGTTGTATGCATTTGAACTACTACCTGGATGACGATACCGCAGCATGCCTAAGTCGGTCCGCACGCAAACTTTGCTCAGGAAAAAGCTCATAACTCGCTTCAGAGGAAAACTTGCAGCTAAGGACAGCATATTTGAAATCAGCGTTCCGAGCTGATTCTAAGTATAAGTGTCTCATTTCAAAAGGTCGAGCTAAGTTAAGTGACTTCCCTTGTTAGATGATGATACCGTAATACCGGTAGGTCAGGAAGTATGCAAAATTTGCACAGAAAAAAAACAATAACTCGCTTCAGCATGCCGCGCAGCAGCTAGGAACAGCCTAATTGGGAATCAGTGTCTGGAGCTGACTCCAAATATATGCTTCTATCTGAAAGGCGAATCTAATTCACCTGATCTCTGTTGATGATGTCGCCCAAGATTGTTAGCAAAGCTTGTGCGATCGAACGTGCCTGCTTAAAGTTGAGAAGATTGAAACTGTTAAGATATGGGAGAAGTTAACATTAGAATAAGCTTAACAGCTAATAATATAGGCCTCATGGCCTACTCCAAAAAACTAGAAGAGTGAAGGCGGTTCTGGTACTTCTTGAAGATTCCTTGACAGTCCTGATGCTGCTACAAAACTTCGCGCTAACATAAGCTCATATAATGGAAATAAGTTCATATAGTGGAGTATGAAAGCAAAAAATCAACTTTACACTAAAGCAGCGAAGATGAGAAGTTAATATTATACGTCTATCGGAACTATAAATCTACCAAATGCGCGAAGTAAAAGATAACTTGGGAGAGAAAATGCATTCAAGGATCGAATAATTTGGCTGGATTTTTTAAAACTTCTCAATCATTGATGAGAAATAACAACATTAATTCCAACAAATGTGGATATAAAAGCTACTGCACAACGAAGGCGCAAAAGCAGTATTAGTTGAGCGGGCGCGAACGCGGTGCGCGCGTATTCTCGCCGTTGTAAATCCTGCGCCATGCGCTCCGCCGCCAATAAAACCTCGTTTGGGCCCCAAGGTATTGCGCCTTCGTCATGCAGCAGCTAATACATACCTGCGCTTTACAATACTGGAGGATGGTGTGCCGAGGTAATCCGTGCACAGTGAATGTCGGGCACTGAAATCATAGTATACTGAGGGAAAAGCTAGACATTTTTGAGACATCAGGAGAAATTAGTGAAAAAACCGTTTCTTCAAATTTATATCTAGCTATAATCTATCATAATTTGGAACAGCGTATTTTAGCTTTCAAATAATAGTAAAGTGAAAATTTGTTCGGTAACATCGTTTCTCCAGTAAATTCTTAAGGGTTATTCTCAGATAATTAGTCAGTGCGTAGTTTCACACATGCAATGCCTGAGGATTTTATAAGCTCAAAAAGCCAAAATGCATGCTTGTTCATTTCAGAGAAAAATACTGCATTCGGGAGATGTATGGAAAGAAAATCTCGAAAAAGGTGTTCTGATATAATCTACTTGAAACATACATAAAATATGACATTTCTCATTTTGGAAGTCCTTGGAATATGAAATAACAATCATTATTTACGCATTCCGACTTCGGTCATGTATACATGTAGGCAAAGAGGATAATACCTCTCCAGCCGTTAATTCCGTAAAATATAACAGGGAGTTTGTAATCCTCTGAAGTGACCTACTCAAATCATTTGAAGCTTAACTAGGATTTGAGATTTGAGGCGATATTAGAGCATTAGCACATTTCCGGTGAAATATTGCTTTTATAGCGTTCGTGTAGGCGCCTACATATTTTTCAGCTTCTTATTGCGTGTCAGCTATTACTTTATTTATACTTCCCCAATTCCGGGTACACATATAGACATCGAATAGACATCGAAATTATTTGCATAATGACACATAGAAACTTACAAATTATTCTTGTGCGTTAGCCATTAAGTATTAACAGTATTAATTTTATTATCAATAGTAGTAGAGTAATTTTCCGAAATGTGAAACAGTAACTCAACCTTATTGCCATCGAGAACACTTATAACGTGCGGAAAAGTGCTCAATTGATCGACATCAAATCTTTGCACTCATTTGCTAGTATTTCAAACCATCTCGTAAATCTCAAATGCTCACATGCTGAATTATAGAGATCGGCTTCTCAAGTTCTGCTCAGCAAACTGCAAGTATTGACACACTCCTTCAAACCAAGGAATGATATCACAGTTATTTACCACCAATTATTATCCTAAACGAAGCATATTACCCCCGGCACCAAATCGGTCTCACGACTCACATTACTGCAAAATATTGTCTGTTTGCATGCTAAAGTGCTCTTCAAAATCAATCCTAGAGCCGCTTATTAATCTTCTAAAAAGTGAAACACTCTTTGTATCGCAATTGAGGTTCCTATTACGTTTACAGTACGTTAGCATAGTTTCAAAAATCAAAACACTCTCTTCAATTCGATTGAGCAGGGCTATCGGTCACAGTCAAGGAAGAGTATAAATAATCTGATCTGTGCCACTAAAATCATAGCCAGATACATACAAGGCGCTATTCCCAAAAAGTTTTTGTTTACGAGATTTTTTCTTGAGACATTCATTATTTGAGACAAATTTTCATGAAACGCATTGGATGATATATGAGGACTCGAAGAAGGATGTATATGTGTTATACTGACCGAGTTCATAGCTTATTGTCTGTTTGCATGCTAGAGTGCTAAAAAGTGATAAAAATGACATTCTGCGTTCCTGCCAAGTGGTAAAGATTTGTTGGATTCAATTAACCATTGCTTGTGATACCTTCCACAAAAAAGGCGAAAATAAGTAGTGAGCTATTACAATCAGACCAAATGGGATTGAATGCGTATAATTACGGCTCAAAGATGATGCACGCAACAAAGTCACGGCTCGGCCAGTAAGAAAACTTGCCTTTCGAGATGTATTTGTAGCACACTATCAGCGCCCCGTGACAGAAGAAAAATGAGAACAAAAAATTGTAATTCTCTGCTTTGTAGTTTCTCATGACAATCAAGGTAAGCCTGTTATTCTCAGAAAAAAGGTTCTCAAGGCAAACTGGTAAGATATGTATACCATCAGAAGCTGGTTTCTATTAAGCTTTCCGTATCTTCGAAACTCTGTCGAAGTTGGCATGAAGTGAACTAAAGTTGGCATTAAGCGAACGTATTATAAATTCGAACAACAATGCGCACGGAAAGTCAGCCTGAGACCTGGTGGATGTCACTGAGTGCAGTGAGTGCTAGGAAATATTATACCAACCAGAAAGCGGTATAATTATTTACATTCCTTTACGTATAACAACTAGAAAGGAGAATAATTATTTACACTCCTTTTATAATACATTAATCTACGTCACTGAATATTCGACAAACTCGGACATCTGACGATCATAACTTCTCTCAGGAAATCATTTTACAGCTCGAGAATCAGATTTGGAATCAGTGTGAAGGACATTTTGGGTGTATCCCTCATAATTTGCCAGAGCAACTTCGTATCCTTTCCTTATAAGTTCTACCGCAGAAAGTGCTCCAAAAAATGTATTGACCGTTTACCGCTTATCACTCAACCAAGATTTTCATTCGAAGATCTCTGTGGAATAAAAACGGCTGGTATCCGTTAGTGAAGGCAAAATTTAACAACAAAAAAACGGAAACTACAGGATAGCAGTGGTGAACAAAAGACAAAAAAGCTAAAATCAATCAAACGAGGTAAGAACCATATGAAAACAACACGCAGCGAGACACCACCCAACGCAACACAACGCATCGTCATCGATAGTTATCTAATATATAAAAAATCGTAAGGTTCATTTGAAAATCATCAAATAGCGGGAAAAGAGCGGGTCCCGAATCGAGCTGGTTCACTAGTACCACAAGAAGCGAGGCAACACAGAAATGAAAAAGTAAAACAACAAAACAGCACTAAGCATGAGACCAGTAAACTCGATCCGTTCCGCATTAGCAATGCACATGTCTTGAGAAAATGTTTTATAGGCAAGCAGAAACCATCGAGTGAAAAATTTGAGAAAACAGGAAACGAAGGAAAGAGAGGCCCATAATTGAAAAGCCATAAATTGAAACGCGCCCATCAAAGTTAGTCAAGAGCTCCCTAAGATGTAACCTTCAGATGCGGACAAAAACGGAAAGAATGATAAAGCCAATGTCCAGCAGTGATAAAGCGTTGCAGTAGAGACACTTGAGAATGGGTAGATGGTAAAAGATTTAGAACTTAGCAGCTACAAAAAATGAAGCGTTCTTCTGAGCTTGATCCTCTCTCTTCGGGTTTAAAACTTACTCTAGCTCAGAAAAATCACCATAAAAGTCATCACATTGAAAACCGAACAAGATTCTTAGGCCCGTATGCACAAACATCGCCACGGAAAGAAAGGTGCATTTTACTATTGAGACGATCCTCGGTAGGGTTTCCCTCCCCTCCCCGCGCGAACCTCTGTATGCACGCAGGCCAGGGCCCGGCACAAGTCGGCTTCTAGGGTTTCTGGAGAAGTCTCCCTTTTTTGGAAGTTTTACGAAGTCCTCTTTGACCTACCTACTTGGGAGAAGATAAAAACAAGAAAAATTTATGAAAGAAAAAACGTGAGGTAAGACTGAAAATCCAAATTGGAGCTGAATGCTACGCATGCTCAAGAGTTTGGCATTGGAGCGCGATATTTAGCAAAGCGATTTATAAAGAAATTAAGGCAGAAGACAGAAGAAAGGCGATGATATAAAAATTTCTTCATTCTTAGGGACAGATTTTTGACTGATTAATCCGTCCATGATAGAAAAATTCAAAACTTATGTGAAGTGACAAAAATATATGCTCCCTCAGATCGTTTGATGACCGTCTGGTGACGATCTAATTTTGGAAAAGGTAATACTTCACATAATTTTTCAAATCTTTTTGCATAATTCTTTTGCAAATAATATTCTATAGATACAGTTCAATCTTGGTGTCATATGATTCCTTGTGCGCTCCAAACAAGCAACTTCTTTATTTTAGCCTTACTTTCAAATCGCGCGCACTTTTCGCCATGCACGATAGAGCATGTCAACCTTGTGATAACCTGTCCTAAAAGTTTCGATCAAATAGCACTTATTCTTGGTGCTCGGCTTCGATCTGTCAAATACGATATCTCCCTTGTTTTTTGCTCCAAAAGCGAAGTCCGCTGCTTCCAGAAGATCTGTGCCGGGCCCTGACGCAGACAATATCGGCGAAGGGATTCCCTGGAAGTAGAGGAAGTGAAACCCCTTACGCACAAAGGAGATCGAGGGGTAAGTTACTTTGCTTCCGTTTTTTTATAGTTATTAATTGTCTGTTCTCATATTTTGACGGCTACTCATCTTCATTTCTAGCCAATGATTTAAGCGTTGCGGAAGGTGCGTCTGCCTTGAAGCGCTCCGCAACAGAAATGATATTCTCCCCGCCCGATATATTCCTGTTGTCACGGATGGGGCTCACTTCAGCCCATACTGCCCATATCAGCGTAAGGGTTTCAACAATAAATGTCGAGATGTTTCTGCAGGGAAATGGGTAGAAGACGCTATGCTGCCGGAAGAGGTGGGCGGGGGTGTCGTGCGGATACTCAAATCAGCATTTGTACACATAAAAGAAGCTGCAAATCGTGCCAGCTCTCCATGAAAGCTGCAGCTATTAGCAATATATCGTCTATTACCCCAAGGGGATGATCCCCATCGCCCATTCGTGCTATGCGCGAGGGGAACGCTGAAGGGGATTACTCCTCTAGGGATCTCTACTCAGAAATAGGCAAATCTGCCAATAGCTTTTTTAAAGCAGCTTACAACGCGCAACTCGTGAATGATCAGAATCTCCTACAAAAACCGGCAGATATATGCCCGAGTTTCTTCGCGAGAAGCGAAGATAGAAGAGAGAGACAAAATTGCATGCTACAGGTCGCTGAGAGAGGAACCTGGCTTTCAAAGGAAATTTTTCATCGACTTGAACGAAAATAATAATAATGAAATAACTTGTAATAACTGATTGACACCAGATATTAGCTTCTCTGGTATGACCTACCCCATCAAACTCCTACTAGGAGATGTCAACCCCTCCCCTGCCTTATTGGGCTAATTCGTGCTGGGAGGGGCAGGGAAGAGATCCCGACCGGGATTCTTCCGATCGATACCTCTAAAATCAAATACCGAATTGGGGCAGCTGAAGA